TTCCGATCATGAAAATGATTATAAAGATTTGATCAGAATTGAATGTAGATCAAGGATCTACAATCGGATTTTCAATATTCAAAATAGATCTAAGTTTTAAGTTTTGGCGCCAAAATTGAAATTAAAAAAAAATGATCAATCAATAGATTTATATGAAGGAGAAGGTGCAGATGAAGAATATGGAATCAGATTTGAAAAAAGATTAAGAAAACAAAGTCAATCTAGAATTTTTTGTTACCTCTTGAGTAGGCTCTTGATACCACATGATGAGTTTCTTGAAGCATTCTCCAAGTAATTCCAAGGAAGGATCTTCAAGAGGATGTGTAGTACCTTCTTACTTGTACAATCCAAGAAAAATCGAGCCAAATTTGCCAAGAAGGAAGAAGTGGGTCTCAAATTTTGAAGGAACCAAAAAAGAGAAAATTCAAGTGAAAAGAGAGAAAGAAAGAATGGATTAGAAATAAATAGCACCACTCTCAAGGATTAGAGATAAACCTCTTTGTCTCACCACATGAAGGAGTTCCATGATAAGAGAAGTGGATCCAAGAGAATTTCTAGATAACACAAACTCACAAAGGTGAGGAAATCATACAAATGAATTCCAATCTGAATTTTACAAGGGGCTTAGCCTATATACAGGCAATTTAACTCAAGACCTAAGTACTCCTTTAATGGGCTATGAACAAGTAACAACAGGATGGGGATTGAGTTGAATACATGCCCTAAAACATAGCCCAATACGAGCCCAAACAAAAATACAAGAGACTTCACCTCAAAGCCCAATGCCCTGAACTATCCATACAGTATCTTACAAACACACTAATTGATATACTATAACATATTTGTTATAAGCTCACTCGTCGGTGTATTACAACACTTATATCATAATCGCACCAATCAGTGTATTTGTGACACACGTACTAGTATCCTTTTTCTTTTCTCCACACCTATTCATCACTTTTCATATTGCACAATTTCCTTTTCTTTTAATAACTTATAAAATCTCCAATCCACATACTTGATCTCATTCATCATTTTCACTTTCACAATTTTCCTTTTCACAATCAATTTTTATACTTTCTCAGAGATTCTTAAACATTCATACTTAATCAAACTTAACCCAACTCACACATATATGATATGATACCTTTTATATCACTCTCACACAACAATAAATTTCTCAATTACGCATATTATCACAAGGCAAGCACATACCATCACAAGTTTAATACAATCATCATGTTTTGACTTTCAGCATATATTCATAAGACATTAACATATTATCACATAATTCCATACAATATGCCAAGAGTCAGACATCCTTGGACTCAACTGAAATTGTGCAATCTAAAATATACTGCCGGAGATCACATTCTCTCGATCTTAATAGAATATTCTAGCTTAAAGTTCAGCATATTCCACTTTTTCTCCATTCAACACATAAAAAAATAAACTTATCCATAAAACTATTTAACTCATTCTTACTTGTGACTATTTATGATAACCTTTGTCTCAAGTGACTTTAAATAGATCAAAACCTCTTTTATACTAAAAATCCATTTACAAACTTATATAGTTTCAAGAAAACTTTATGGATTTACTTTTTAAAATAAGATTACCCCTTTCTCTCAAGATTAATAAACATATTTAGGTAGAACCTAAGGTTTAAAAGTTACTCCCTTTACCTAGAAATGGATCTCAAACACTAAGTTCTTTGTGGGCTCTAGAGAGAAACTCCACATCTTGACCAAAAATACTACCTAAGGGCTAGAGTTCTGCCTAACATCACAATGTAGATTACTATTATGAAAAGAGAGAACATAGAAACAGCAACAAGATTCAAGGGATGAACTCCAAAAACTTACTTATATTCGAGTGGAATGAACGTTTGAGCTCAAATCCGAGAGAGATCTAGTGTTGTTAGAGGCTTGCTCTGAGAAGGGAGAGGGAGAGAACGAAGAGAATGGAGAGGAAAAGATGATTTAGTTGAAAATGAAGTTTTTAGGGCAAAAGTTATTTAAATATCTTTCACACTCGTGACTTTTTTGCTACAGCGAAAAAATCAAATAATATTATTCTTTTGTTGTCTGTCATTCTAGTTATAATGAGAGATCTTCACTGCAGCAAGAAATTCTAGCTGCAACGAGAATGTTGTTGGGTCATCCTTATCTACTTTTCGCTATAACAAGAGGGCTCTAGAAAGCCTGATTCTAGATTACTTGTTTCGCTATAGCGAGATATCCTGCATTTCACATTAATTAAACACTTCTAATTTCAAACAACATGCACACACAACTAACATAAATTGCAATAATAATAAATAACAAAATAAGAGTGTTACAAAAATATAGCCTAAAAAAGCTTATCAAAGAAACTTCTAAAAGGTGAGTTTTATTTATTTATTTATTTATTTTTCAAAACTTTTTTTAATTACATCTAAAAAAAATTTCACTTAAAGTTTCAGCCAACCTTTGAAGGTAGCTTGTACTTAATAAATAGTGCACTGTACCTCAATACAACTTTCTTGGCTAATAGAAAGGATGCATATCTTTGTCATTTTTTTCAAAAAAGATTAGGCATGCAAAAGGAGCTACTCTCTTTCTATATATATAATAATGAATAAAAGTGAAAATTTTGGAAGAGGCCATGGCATGTCCTCCCATTCTTGGGTCCACCTCAACAAGTGGTGACATTACTATTTATTTTTTTGTAAAAAAAAAAACTATCTATAATGATAAGACATGTTATGACAGCTCAAAAAACATTGCAAATAATAAAATTATTTTGAAAATTTTATATTTTACTAATAAATAATTAAAAAATAATAATTTTGTGGTATTATTTGTTAAGTGTATTCATGTAAGATGCTGAATATCTTAATAATTAAATAATGTGATTGAAATTTATGAACTAAATGATAAATACAGAAAGAAAATTGTCTCAATTTACCTTTAGGATTGCTGTCATTTTAGGGTACTTTATTTATATATGATTTTTTTAATCGTAATTAATTTTTAGAGAAAATTACAATAATATGATTTTTGTATAAAATCATCAATGGTGTTTTTTATTTGGAGAAATTAGTTACAAACAAATGTCATAATTAGCAATTTTTAAGGACTAAAATATGATTTATATATATATATATATATATATATATATATATATATATATTGCCATCATTGAGTCTTGAAAGAGAAAAAAAAAGGTTTCTAAATAAAAAATTGCCAATGGTATTTTAAAATCGCCAATAATGACTTTTAAGACAAACAAAAATGAAAATCTCCATTAGTATTTTGTTTAAAAGAAAGGTGGCCATGGCAAATTTTAAATTTTGATTTACAAATATCCCCATTCAGATTTGTAGAAATTACAAGTGAATACCCACATTCCTTAGTTTTTTTGTTCTATGCTTGAAGAAAAAAAATGAGTGTAGAATATACTTCAATAGTGAGATTACTACACACACGAGTAAAGGAATGACATTTATATGTGAAAAAAACCAACATTTGTGCATATTTCATATAATATCTCATTTGAAGAACTAGAGTATTGACTTAGTCAAAATATTAAAGTTGAGATTTCAAAAATATTGTAGAGAAATATTTACATGTGTCCAATCTCAATTTTAGAAGTTTTATACAATACCAAGTAATTTCAATAAACAACAATGATAATCTTCAACAAATATTTCAGATGCATCATGAGTGTCATCCCTTAACTCCTGTCATTAAGTTGTATGTTGTTCTTATAGAAGTTTCGATTAACATTTATCAAGAAGTTGACGTTGAGGAGGAACAAGCATATGCAAGCAATGTTTCACACTTATAGATAGACTTGAGATAGAACAACATGAAAAGTGATGACAAAAACTTTTGATGGAAGATATCAAAGTGATGGGAATAGTGATAATGAGGATTTGACTCAAGATAAAGATGATAAGGACTCTTATTTATCAAATACAATGATTAATAACATGTTTGGTGAGTTATCGTGCATGCATGCTTTATATCTTAATAACATATTTTTAACTTTTTTACAAAAATATACTTTATTATGTTTTTTACAAAAAATATTTTAAATCAAGTTAAATAAATATTCATAAAATACATAAATTCATAAGATATTATATCACTCTATACATATTTACTTTATATTATTTTAGTTACAAAAATATAAGAATTGTGTTGATAAATCCTAAGCACACTTATTATAAAATATATAATGATATAAATTAGGTTACTATAAATATAAAAATTAACTTAAAAATTTATGTTAATAATAAATACTATAATTTACTCAATTGTAATCACTATATAATTTTTTAAAATCAATTACATTATTTAATTTTAATTATAGTTTAACTATAATTTTAAAAAAATTAACATTATAATATAAAAAAAATTTACTTACATTGAAACTACGTATATTTTTATCTAATTTTCACTTCTAAATCAAAAATTTATTTTGTCTTTTCTCTTAATATTTTTTTACAAAATTTCAAACCCACCTCCCAAATAAATCCTAATATTTCAAAATTATCCCCTTTGAAATGCCAAACCTAACTGGTCACGTTCATGCCTCCCTCAAGCTAATTTACTTAGAGCATAGATGCATTTTTCAATACGAATAAACGATTGAGACTTTCTGAACAGCAAATTATCCTGTTGGTGGGTATAAAGGAAAGGATCTTTATGCTATTTCTTATTTGTTGAAAGAACTTTGTTATTGGTCAATGTTTCAATCTCAACTGTTCTTTGTGAGACTTTTGTTAATTTTCTTTTTCACTCGACTAAACTATTTGAAGCACAATTCTATCATCTTTCTTCAATAGCTGTCACTTCACTTTTCTGTAATATTCCATTCGTAATTGTCTTAACATTAAAAAATGATAATTGAGATTATATATTCCAAACATTAGAAAAATATCTAATGGAAAAAAATAGAAGAGTAAGAGGAAGAAGACTATCATTTAGAATGACACAATAGCAAGAATTTGATAATAATAACAATAAGATAAGGTCTCGAAAATCAGTGATCTAAAATCACATTACAAATACAATGTACCACATAGAAGCTTGGGCAATGGATAAAAATACAATGATTATGTGTAGGCGCATCCGATTCACGGATTGAATTTTGGCCGTGAAGCAATACATAAATTACAGGGGTGAAACTTAGAACATAAATAAAAAAATAAGGAAGATATTGCCAAAAAGAAAGGGGTATGTTCTAGCCTTTAGGACGTTGGGGTTGCGGTTTCTAGCTTTGCTCTAAGGTCTTTTCTTAATATCTTTCCTGATGGAGACTTTGGAATAGCATGAACAAAGTAAACTTTGTGCAGTCTTTTATAAAACACCACCTGTTGACAACAAATACCCCATACCATTCAATTAATTAAAAGCCTCTTAAGGATTAAACTTGGGTTAAATTTATATAGCTTTTACATTTGCTAATGTAAATCAGTTTATGTTGTTTGTATTTGATTGATATGAATGAAGTCAGAGTCTTTTTATATTTTCATTTTAGCCAAATAATGGAAGCAACTAAAATTTGAGTACTTTTCTAGGAAATCACATTTTTATATTGTCACTGTCATATACCTGTTTAGCAATAAACTCCTTTACAGCCTCTTCAGTTAGATCAAAGCCATTTGATCTCACCACGAAAGCAACAGGAACTTCACCAGCAGCAACATCCTTTTGTCTGTTAACATATGGTTTCGTTTATAAAATTATTAGTCTGTCTTGTTCCACTATATATGCACAGAAAAGCATTATAAATCAGATTAAGAATCTTACGGGACAACAGCTGCGTCTGCAATAGAGGGATGGTTTACTAGAAGGCCTTCAAGTTCAGCAGGGGGCACCTAGCAGAACGAAAGAATAAATATAATTACTTCTTGTCACATTTTTTTTTCTCTATTAAATTTTATGAGAAATACTATATATACCTGGAAGCCTTTGAATTTGATGAGTTCTTTCACCCTATCAACAATGAAAATCTCATCGTCATCATCTACATAGCCAACATCACCTGTATGAAGCCACCCCTCATCATCTATGGTCGATGCTGTAGCTTTGTCATCGTTCAGATATCCTGACATTCAAGAGTAAGTGCACAGCCAATCAATAAAAAAATTGACAAGAATTAAAACCCAAACATCCACATCGAATTAATTATAATTAGAATAATAAATTCAATCATAATATTTATTTTTCCTTTTTTGTTCCTAAAGTTTTGATTAATGGGCAGGATTCAACAGGTTATACATACCATGTCTATCATAAATATTGGGATGAAACAGATTTTATGATACTAAAACACCATACGTAAGCATTACACGTATTTTATGTATACCTTTCATGATCTGTTGTCCTCGGATGCAAATTTCACCGGGTTGATTATAGCCAAGACAACGACCAGTTTCAGGATCAACAACCTTGAGCTCTGCATTTCTTACAACAGTGCCACAAGAGCCTGACTTTGTTGGAAATGGTTGTTTTGCAAAGCCCAAGCACATGGATAGCACCGGTCCAGCTTCTGTCATTCCGTATCCCTAAAGATCCATGCATTTTACCAAGTCCCAAATTTAAAATTTGATTTTGAACATACCTTAAGAACATTACAAAGGGAAACAAAGGAATAGGGAATAGCACATATTCAAGCCATGCTGCTCTTTTTTCATATATGATTTGCTTAGAAACATTCCAAGGTATTCGAAAAACAAATTTGAAATAATAATTACAATATTTTTATTTATTTATCGGGACAATGAAAATGCACTCAGTTTGTATTCTTATTTAAAAAATAATAATTTTAAAAAACTGTAAAAACAAAATATAAGTAGTTATTTTTCTAAAATAAATTGTTTAAAATTTAGACAATTAGGCAGTAGTGCGGCCGCATGGACACTGAAAAGTTGACTGGTCTAGCATTAGTTGGTATTACGTCATTGAGCCAAGTCAACTAATCCAAACTACTACGAAACAAGAAGTAGCCAAGTTTGACCCTGAGCAAACTAGGTATATTATTACACAAGTTGTTTCCTTTTTTCTTACTCGAGTATTTAGGAACATCAGATAAAAATAATAATAATAATAAATAAAATTGTTAACAAAAAAATACAATAAAAATATTTTACTATAAGTCATACTTGCACGGCTCATTCAATATTTTGGCGTTTGGTGAGGTACTATTTTAACCTGAATAATTTTAAATATATATAATAAAATTTTAATAAAGTGTAAAACTTGATGATTTTGTAAGACTTCTATTGTATTTCACTTAAATTGGGGAAGATGGGGGCTTTAGATTTCTGGCACACTTCGAAAAATTCAACGAATTGGAAGTTATGAAAAATAGTGCATTAATTATATTCCCTGATTCAAGCAAGCCATTTTATATTTTCCTCCCCATGCCTGAGCAGGTTGTCCAAATACAGCTTTCTTAATTAATAGCTAATATTCTCTGACTCTTAACCAATTTTTCTGCCAAAAACTAAGGTGTTGAATTGAACTTACCCAGCTAGCCACGTTTAGAGTTCAGACACCAAACACAAGCAACCGGAAAATTAGTTTTTTTTTAATGAAAAAGAGGTGAGTTAGTAAATGACTATAATGCCATCGTTGAATTAATTCTCTGACCGTCCTCTCCCCCAACCGCGCTCGCATGCAAAAGTTGTATGAAATAAGTAACCGCTGAAAATATGGGTGGGCGAATTAAATGAAAATAAGGAAATATCTTATCGTAAAGAGTTTTGCTATGTTTTTTAAATATATTTTTATTATTTTAAAATATCACAAACTTAATTATTAAACAATTATAAATTTAAAAATTAAAAGTAAGATATTTTTATTAATATATATATATATAACTTAAGCACATTAGTTTTTATTATGCAGATTACTAAAACAAAACTCTAATTAACATTGTACATATAATAATGCATTTAGGTTATGTCCTGAAATATATTAAAAATAAATATTTTTACCGTTTTCTAACGAAATGTTTTTATTTTGAATTATTGGTATTTATCTTGAAAAGATGGGATCATAATATATCAACATGGGTAAAACTAAAGTTACCAACCTGTCCCAGAACAGCCTGAGGCACCCTACTCCGAAGAGCCTCTTCGAGTTCCTTGCCCAAGGGTGCAGCACCCGACAGCACCAACCGTATGGAGCTGAGGTCAAAGTCCGCCACCATGGGATTCTTGGCCAACGCCAGCACGAGCGGCGGCACCACCATCGCCACCGTCACGCGGTGCCGCTGTATCAGCTCCAGCAACGTACCAATCTCGAATTTATGCATCAGCAGAACAGCGCTCCCCGCTCGGAGCGCGCAGAGCAAAACGCTGTTGAGAGAGAATATGTGAAACAACGGAAGCACGCAGAGGAGAACGTCGTCGGTACTCAGGTGCAGGTTCGGGTTCTCGCCGTCCACCTGTTGCGCCACGCTCGTCGTCAAACTCTTGTGCGTCAGAACGACTCCCTTCGGCAACCCCGTCGTGCCGGAGGAGAACGGCAGCGCCACCGCGTCGTCGGGATGGATCTCCACCTCCGGCACTTCGCTCTCGTTTCCCTCCGAGAGCACCGAGAAATGCAGGCAGTTCTCCGGCGGATCGTCGACGGTGATCACCTTGAAGTCTTCGCCTAGTTTCGCGTCGTCGTGGTTGCGGAGCTTGTCCACGTACATTGCCTGCGTGATGATGACCTTCGCCTTGGAGGCGGCGAATTGCTTGAATATCTCGGCGGGAGTGTAGAACGGATTGGCGGTGGTTGCGACGGCGCCAATCATGGAGGCAGCGAAGAAGGAGAAGACGAACTCGGCGGAGTTTAGGAGAAGAATCATGATGACGTCACCTTTTCCGACGCCAAGGTTGGATAGGCCGGCGGCAACTTTTCGGGAAATGAGATGAGTCTCGGCGTAGGTGTAGATATTGGCGGCGGCGCCGACGATGAGGCAGGGACGGTCGGCGAATTGGGAGAGGTTCTGAAAGCAGTAAGCGTGGAGGGGGAGGTGGTTAGAGATGGGTATATCTGGTAATTTTGATTTGAATATGTGGGTATTTTGGGAAACGCAGGGTTGGTTTTGGCCAGTGGTAGCATTTTTGGCATCAAGGGATGGTGCGAGTGACAGCATAGTGTCTTTAGAGTTGTTTATGGTGGAAAGAAAGAGTAGATGAGAGGGTGGGGTAACAATAAAAAAGCTTAGATAGGGGGAATGAAAGAAAAGGAGAGAGAAAGACTGAGGAATTGAAACGGTGGAGTGTGGTAATATAAGGGGGAGGGTGGTAGGTGGGAATGAAGGAGTGTTAGTAGATGGAGAAGGGTCAGCCAAGCCTGTGATCACGTTTAAAACCAAGCGTTCTTCTTTCGTAGCCACTCTTACTTACCTACCTACCCCTTTTTCTGTCCTTTTCTTTCTGCCTCCAATTACGAACTCCCACCATTTATATTATGGGTCACCTCCCATCTATGCTCTAATTTCCATATGCTCTCCTCTTTTTATCATTCAAATTTGGTAGCTCTGTATTCACTTCCATATTTCTTTTTTTAATATAATTTTATTTATTGTTACTCTTTTAACTTTTAAAGGTCATCCCAGGACTTATTCTTGACTTCATACAAATCTAAATTTTCTATTTAATGTAACGTGAATACTATTTTATTTTATTATATATTAATAACAAAAATCGTATTTTTTCTTCATAAATATATTTATTTTAATATGCTTTTATGTACATTAAATAGTTTATTATATTAGCTTCATATTTTATTATGTTTAAATAATATAATATATATTAAAACTTGTTCATTTATGGTCAAATGATTAAAAAATATACTTCAAATTAATAATTTTTTTATTTCAGGTGGACTTCGAACAAAGATTTTTTGCTAAATAGATGACTGCGCGTACACGTGAACTTGGTGGAATTTTACACCAATTTGTCAATTCTTTTTTTAAAAAAGTTCAAACTTTTGTATTTTTAACGTAATAATTTTTTTAATTAAAATTTAGTATTTTTATGTGCTTAAATTCAATTTTAAGAATTTAAATTAATAAATTTGTAAAAAAAAAAGGAATAATAATACATAAATAGAGATAATTAAAACATATATATATATATATATATATTCAGATTTTATTTAATAAAAAGAGTCTACATAAAATGAGTTTGATTTTGATAAAAAAGAATTATACTGTTAACAAATAAGAAAATATTATAAAGATATTTACAAAAATTAATAATTTTAAATTACATAATAGTTTATAATTAAATGTCATAAAAAATATATTGCCAATAAACTGTAATTAAATTTTAAAAAATATAACTATTAAATTAGAAATAGTATATATAAACTAACTAAAAAAACTACTTAATCATAAGTTTACAGTAATTATATAATTATATCACTAATTACAAGTTGTTTAACTAAAATAATAAAGTATAAGCACATAAAAAAATTTAACCGTTAGATTATTGATTTATACCGTTGAGATTTAATGTAAGTCTTTTAAACTTATAAATTATAATTTGTTAAATTTAAATTAAATAAAATATTCAAATTAAGTGTAAAAATTTTTAAGATATTTATTTGATAAAAAAACTAATAAATATATTTTTATTAAAATTAAAAGAATAAAAATATTATTATATTTTTAATAAAAATGTATTTTAATTTCTTAAATTAATCTGAAAATCATTGGTTAGGATTTAAAAGACACCACCCTACGTGGATATATCATATAGGATTGTTTGATGTTCCCAAGTCACATCGAAAGGTGAGTTGTTCCAACATGCCACTGCCTTTTTCTCCGGTTCCTCTCCCCCTCAAGGGGGTCCCTGGTAGATAGATTAATTAATTTAAATAATGATATTTGTCTTTACTAACGAATTAAAAATAAAATCATAAACATACTTAAAAATCAAATAAAGAACCTAACTATATATAAAGTATCAACTTAGCCTGACTTGGTCCCTACCTAATTTTCATCCAACCAGGTCAACAATAACATAATTTAGAAGACACGTTTTTACATTATAAAATAACTCATCAAATATTAAAAACGCTCGCTTAATTGACTATTTTCTATGATTATTATTTGTGTACGAAGAATAAAATGAGATGATTTTTAATTCTAATTATAAAAATATAAAATATATTTAAAATATATAGATATATAATACTTATCATAATCTCATAAATTTAAAAAAATATTTTATATTTTATTAAATTAATGATTGTAATTTTTTAGAAGATTGTTGATATTTTTTTAATTAAACTACTAATATATTAATATAAAATTAACGGTAATAATTATTGTATGTATAAAAAAAGATATAAATTATAAGAAAAATTAGTTCAAATAACAAGTAGCTCAATATCATTTAAGTAAGTCTTGAGTTTGAAAAAAAATTTAATGATAGACTCATCCAACAAATACGCGACCTAAGTTGGATTAGATTAAATCAGATCAAAAAAATAAAAGAAGATATAATTTTTTTTATTAATTATAAAAAGAACAGTAAATTTTATTATTATTTTTATTATTATTAGATGTATATTTACAAGACTAATTGCATTAATTATACTATTTAATATTATAAATATTTTTAAGATAAAATATAATTAATTTAATTGTTTTTTTAATTTTAATAATTTTTTATTTTTTTTGGAAAGATAACCGGAGTAATTTTCTGTCTCTCTCTCTGGTTTCCACAATGCATAGGTAGGTTTCTTTAGTTATCTTGCCAATTTGATTGGTTTCTTTACCTAATTTTAGAAATTTAAACTTTAGTATCCCAAAGCAAATCGATTGAATGTGTCTCCCAAAATATAAACTCAAAGTAAATAATGATTAGCTATGTAAGAACTGCAACTAACCTTTCTTTTCAACACCACACAAATCGAGCAGAATATTTCAACAGTGTTGCATTGATTTTGATTGATCGCAGTTAAGAAAAATCAATATGTGATTGCAGGAGAGCATTTGATGTAAGAGTACCCCAAAAATAACCAAAATGATGAATAATACATTTTTCTTTTTTCAAATTTTGACAGGTTTTTGAAGATAATCTCGTCCGAAGCAGAGACAGACATTTAATTTTCGGTCGAACGAAGGCAGACATTAAATATAAGTGTTTCTTTCAGCGAAAAAATTGATTTGCTGCATTGGGTGTGGGATATTAATTAATCCTGCTAGACCCAACCTCGTCGGTATTAATTAATACATTGATTAAATTTGTCGCAATAAATAGTTTAATTAAAAGTTCATTTAATAATTTTTTGTAATTAGAGTTTGTAATATGAGTTTGATCATAAAATTTATTAGAATAAATTATAAAAAGTTTATTTTGATAAATTATATATAAAATTATTAAAATATAAAATGTTCTATACATACCTTTAATTACTTATTAGACAAAAATTTAATCCATTCATTTTCCGAATGGCTTCTTTTACTAACAAAAATTACCTATGACATTTTTTTTCAATAAAAAAGGGTAATAGTTACTTTTGATTCTTTTGCGTATAAAGTGAGTTCTTGCTCATTCTAATTTACATCAAATTGTAATTATTCAAGTTTTGGTTGTTTTTTTAAAAAAGAATAGTAGAAATATATTATTATATTATAATAACGACATTATTAGAAACATAAGTGAAAGTAAAATATTTATATATTTTATTCAATATATTATTTCAAGAACTAAAGAGTATATTTTGTTAATATATTTGAGTGTAAAAAAGTTAAATAACGTATAGGTGTCCAATATTAATTTTTGACTATTTTATGTAATTCCAACAAATAATAAAGATTATCATAAATAAATGTTTCAATTTATTAGCAGTAACAACATCCTTTAACTCTTGAGAAAGAGTTTTATGTTATTTTTAAAGAAATTTTTCTTGCCTTTTATGTCTAAGGTGAAGATGAAGACGTTGAAGCAAAATGAGAACAAAATGAGTTTGAAGAAAAAAGAAAAAAAAAGTTTGAAAGCCTAATAAAAAGTAAGGAAGGAGTAGAGAAGGAAGAACAAAGAATAGTTAATAAAAAAATCTCCAAATAGAAGAAACTAAATAGCATGAGTTTAAGAGAATTTTGAAGGGTTTATAAACCTTCCTCTCATTTTAATAACTCTCAAACAAGGGTTGTCACTAAATAAACCTTCTTTTTTCTCTCCATTTCCTCAAAACAAAAAAAAACCTTCAAATAAAGTTTAAGGTGGGACAGAAATAGGCTAAACAAATTTATATTGATGCATTACATAATTAATTGCATATTAATCTAATACCTCAAAGTATAACAATAAGCTAATAGTTCACCACGTAAGTTATTTGCCTCTCATGTCATTTAGAAGGATGATATCAATAACTTCATTCACATATAGTCGTCACAAATAATAAATAATAAAAAAAAAGTTTAAGATATAAAAATAATATAAAAAAGGTACAAACAAATTAAACAAATTTATAGACATAGTAATGCTTCCCTCAAGAAATTACATGTTAGCTAATGACAATATGATATTTTCAATATCTTTATACAGAGTGTTATGTGAATATTGCAGGATCTACATCCAAAAACAATTAATAATGTTATTGGTTCACCTAATATTGGAACCAACCACATAAGTTGTTATCATCCCATGCCTGTAACATTATTAGACATTCATAAATTTTTTCAGCATTATGTCGTAAACCATGATTTAGACATCTATAAAGAAAAGTAAGACATGTTAAACCCCAGTTATACAATATAATTTCATTCACATTAATCAACAATTGTAATAATTTTTGTATACTACTAAATTGCTTTTATTCAACATAAGATTATGTCTCAACAAAGACAATATAAATTCATGGGTATGTTATGTTATTCCATTGTCCAAATTAGCATAAAGTCAACCAAAATATTTTATCAATCACTTTAATCTTATCTATGATATTTCAATATCATTGGATATGGATTAGCTGTCTACTAACTTTTCACACATATCTTATACTACTATAGTATTAGAATTAGTACAATAAATTATTAATACATCATTGATTCAAAGTACAAGTAAGATTACAATATCTTCTAATGTCATTGTGCATTTAAAAAAAAAATGTATGTCTTTAGCTTCTAATCGTTCAACAAATATATTTACAAAAACTATCATTTATTTACATTTGACAAATTTGCACATACGATCAAACTTAGCATGCCATAAAATTTTAATTAATCTCGCCAAATT